ATATATATATATTATATTATATTACATATGCATGTATCAATACATTCATGATGAATCTCGAACATCACAATTTGATAACCATTTCTCGATATAGAATTAATTATTATATTTAATCACATTAATTACATAGTATAATTCATATGAAATTATATCAGTAAAAAAGAGAGTGATTCTCAATTCTCTTATATAACATAATTTCTTCTTTATATATACAACAAAACAAATACAAAACAAATATCGAAATGAGAATTTAATAATATAAATAAAAATTTCTATTTTATTTATATTTCTTGATTGTTAAAAAAATTATTTTAATTTCATAAAAAATAATATAATTTCATTTTGTTTTATGATATTAATTATTAATCAATGAAAAATATGATTGAAATAACAATTTTGTATCTTTGAGAAGTTTAATTAATAAAGATCAGTCTTTTCGATATTCAAAACGTTTGAAACGTTCAAATTAAGCTCTGGAATTATTTAAATTTAGAAAAGTTGCAATGTTAAATTTTTAATTCATTTGGATTAACGAATTTACCTAACTTTATACATAATACACTTTTACGTAAATACTATTAACTTTTTGATAATAAAAATAATTACATGCTTCAATCCATTAATGATTAATTAATTTTTTTTATATAAAGAAGATTCCTATCTTTTCGGATTAAATAATTCTTATAAAATAAAATGGAGGAACTAAGTTAAAGGTTAGCTTAGAAATAAATACATATATGTAGAGATATAAAAATTTTAATTTTGTAAGAAATTAAATGGGCTGATTTATAAAAATAATATAATTATTATATTGTTACATTATCTTGAAGAAAAATATCATATATTGTTTTTATATAAAATTTATTTATACTATATTTTAAAAATTTTTATTTCCATTTGGCAAAATATCATTTCATTCGAAAATTTTATGAGATCAAACAATATCAAACGAGAATATTTCCTATATTGCATAAAATTCAATTAATTAATTAATCTCATTTATCATACTTCAATCATTCATTCAAAACTCAATCTTATAATTATCGATTGTAATTTAAAATTAATGATAAAAAAGAGTCAAATTATTCCACTTTCAACTTACTATCATTCCTTATAACCTCAATTTCATCTTAATTCTTCGTCTTTTGAAAACTCTATTACATTAAACAGGCCGCTGTTCATTAGTTTCATTCCACAAAGTCATCGAGATCTCCTCTGGCCTCTTCAAGATATGATTTTCCGGAATAGTATACGTATTTCTCCTTGAGAATTTCAAAGATTTCAAACCAGGAAACCACTTTAGCAAACGCCACCATTTCTTTCCGGATTCATCCACGTTCACAGTGGTATATTTACTTGGTCTCGAATTTTTCAAACATACATCATTCTTATGTCTTATCTCATTCGAAAGTATGTTTAATCTGCCAATGTTCTCATCCCTCTTATTGATATTGTTTCGGATCGTGTCTATTTTTAATTGATCAACTAACGACGTAAATTGTTTTGGATTGTCTTCTTGGCCAAAATTTCCAGAACAATCAGTACTTTCATGAACAATTCCAGTTCCAGCCGTTCCTATGTTTCTCGACCCACCAATCGCTCTTTGCTGCGATCGAGACAGGCTTGAATATGAACGTTGTTCATGTCGTATCGGTAATCCGGGTATTCTGCAACTTCTCGATAGTGTTTCCTGTAAAAACAAAATAATTTCTCATGATTGAGAAGCTTTTCGATTGATGTAATAATAGTGGTGAAATATAAGAGAAATGAACATGGATAGATAATCGATTATTATCGATAATTGTTATTGATAAGATTCTCGAATTTCGAATGATGAAATTTTCTCGAGTGAGGTTATTGTATTGTTATATCAACTAATTAAAAAAATGAATAGTAAGATAATTAATCTATATTAGAAATGATTGTAATATTGAACAAGAATTACGATTATAAAATTAAACAAAGATTGAAATATATTTCTAATATATATTTCTTTTATTGTAAAAATAAGATATACAATTAGTAAATATATTTATAGAAAAAAATAGGAAGTTTGCTTATTCTTTAATGTATTCTATAATCTATAGAGTTCCAATAATATTTTATTGGAATAAATAGTATAATTGAGTGATAATGAAGAAGATTATCTCAGTTGATTAATTCGAACTTCTAATTATTTACGTGCATTTATATTTAGGAAGATATTATTACTCACCATAAACGCAACACGAAATTTATTCGACATGATATTGTACAGAATAGGGTTAATCGTCGTAGAGACATAATAGAATACACCAGATATGTAGGTCATGAGAAGATAGAGGAACTCGATCCATTCGCTGTTCGAGGATATGTGATCCTCGGAGTTTGTCCCGTAAATGGCGATCAGGCGCTGAACATGAAATGGTGCCCAACAAATAAAAAATGCTATCACCACTGCAACTGTAACAAATTCCATAATATTTCTGTTACTTTTTTTAAAAATATCATATTATTGTTTATTCATTGTCTTTTATTTTAAAAAAAAATTAAAAAGTAAAAATATAAAATGTTCTTATGATGGACGTAATAATGGATCCAGTATCAATGTTTGTTTCAATTGGTGTCAAGGAAATCTATATAAAAATTATATGTTCGTTCTCTTATTTTTATCGACAGTTTTTTTAACAAAAAAAGAAATTATCTATTTCTTTATTGTAATAATTAAAATTTTGTAATTTAAAATTTAATTAAAAATAAAGCAAAAGTAATTATTTCAACCTAACCTTAAAATTTATTTTTTTATATATCTTAATGATTGTAATTGTATTTAATTTTTTTAAATTTTGTTCGAAAATATAATTTATGATATATATTTGTATATTTATATATATTTGTAGAATTATATTTATAATTATAATTGTAGAAGTTTTAAAAATGTTTGTTGTAGCATAATTAATTTTTCTCAATTATTTTAATCAAGGATTTGAAACAGACTGTATACATTCTTTATATTTTTCTTTAACAAAAGGATATTTAGTTTAATCTTATGAAAATAGATTTAAAAATAGATTTAGAAATAGAAAAACAATATTATTTATAGCGATTATGATAAATGAAATATCCTGATAGTAAATATAAATAAAATAGATTTTATTAATTGCTAAATCTTAAATATATGTGAAATGAATATGTCAAGAATATATCAAATTGGACAAATTTAAATCATATAAATTTGAAATAAAAATAGAATTGAAAGAAGAATAGGGAAACTTTATTTTTACTAACAATTATTTTTCAAGTATGCATTGCAAAAATACGTCAATGGAACAAATTAATAATAAAAAAAATCTTGTGGGAAAAGAATAATAATTTATAAATAATTTATAAATGAACTACGCACAAGCACTTTGATGGATTGATTTAAAAACTAGTAAGTGATTGCTTTTTATGAAATGATTTAAATTAAATACAATAGATTAGAAGATAATTTTTAAAGTAAAAAATCGCTAATAATTTAAGATTAATATTAAATTATTCTTCAATAATTTTTTTTAATCTCTAAAAATTATAAAGTTTATAGTATGATAAGGTAGTAAATGGATTTGGAAAATATCACGTGATTTGTTGAAGAATATTTCTAGAAATATTTAAATTATATTTGATATTTGTGAAACTGAAAAAATTTATAAATAAATAGATTATTATTTATTTTATAAAATTAATATCTTTATTGAAATATTTATTATTTTTTTCATGTAAAAAATTATTTTACTTTATTATTGAAAAATTTCTCATGATTTTTTAAATCTAACGACTAGGGATATTTTTTTTATTAAAAATTACATTCTTTAATTTTTCAAGTTCCAATTATACTAAGTTTATTTTTTATGTTAACTTTATGTTTTCTTCTTTACAAATTTTATAGATATATTTTATTAATAATTGAAATGAAAATACTCCTTTTGAGCTAAATATAAAACTCTCTAGAATCTATTCATAGGACTTTATATCGTAGTAATTTTCATATAATTCATATCGTATTAAATTTCATATAGTTTCATGAAATAGAAACTTGTCTGATTACTGAATTGTAATAAAGAATAGATAGTTAAAAAAGTTAAGTTAAAATTTGTAAATTTTAATTATCTTGACGGAAAAAAATATTTTTAAAAATGAAACTTGAGTGCAATCTGAAAGAAGGAATAACTTGCAAGGAAAAATCGCATAAAAAAGATTATGGAGGATTAATGGTAATTAGAAAAACTAATGCAATTAATTTTTAATTCATTATTTTTTAATATAATATATAATTATTGAAAAATTATTTATTTTATTTATTTTATAGTTTATAGTTATAAAATAGTTTATAGTTTATAGCTTATAGTTTATAAAAATTCAAAGAATAGTCAACTTCAAAATAAATTTACGAATAATTATATGAATAAATGTGACATAATGAAAAATGATATTATAATATATAATTTTATTTTGTCTTTTCAAAAAAGACAAATAAAATTCTGTTAATCAAATTAATATATCATCATTTAGAATCATATTTTAAGATGTTGTATGACATAATTTAAAAATCTAGAAATATGAATATTTTATATTCACATTTATAACAGAAAAAATTTCTCGGAAAAAATTTTATATATTTTTTTTCTTGATTTCACTTTTCAAACTTTTCTATTTTTTCCAACTGTTTCGAATTGTAACGCAATAATGAAATACTGTTTGTTTTCACATTTTCAAAGGGAATTAGTTATATAACTGATATAAATGTGCAATAATATATTATACGATTCTTTTTCATGTAATATTTAACTTATTATTTAAAAAAAATATATAAATAAAAATAAAAAAGACGAGAAAAGAAATCAAAAACACAAAAAGTTGGAGGGAATAAAAAAATGATCGAAGAGAGGTTATGTTTCGGTCAAAGTGCATTATTCTGTTCAAGTTCATATGATTATATATAAGGCGATATTGCGTTGCTTTTGAAACAATATGCAAAAATTAGAATTGATATGCGACTGAGGTCAAGATCAGTCAGGTTGTAACATATCATAGCAACCTGCTGCATGTGTTTCCTTTGAATAATTCATTCTCTGGAGGTTTATATTTACTGTGTTGATTTTAAGTTTCTTTTGAAAAATCTTATCGGAGCTTTCTTTTTGGGATCATTCGTAAATATTTTTCCATTATTTGATTATTCTGAAGCCACATTATTTTCTGTATATACTCATATACATATATGCATTTTTACTTGTCGAGTTAATGTCAAGTTGGAAAATGATGGATTAAGATTAGGTGAAATTTTAGAAGATACAATTATTGATTGAATAAGTACAGATTGGTTCGAATAAGTGCATAGTACTTCGAGTACTATACGAGTTCGAAAACTCGTATGGTACTTAGCATGGAGATAAATACTTAGGTTAGTGTCTAATACCTACCTTAACTCAATTATCTATACAAAATTTATAATATAATATAACATAATATATCGAAGTTTCTAAAGTGTCGATATAGAAATATTGATATTGATAGACAGAAGTTTCTACTGTTTTAAATAAAATAATATTATAATAATATAAGAATTTTAATTTTTGTACGTTTCTATTTATTTTAATGTATTAATTTATTAATTTATTTTAATCCTTCATGTGATTTTACTTTTTATTAATTAAATAAATATATCTATATTATTTATACTATTCTATTTGTTTAAAAAATTTATAAAATAATATTTTACAATTATTAAAATTTCGATTATCAAAATTTTAATAGAAATGAAACAATTAAAACGCTTTCAGGAAGAAAATATCAAACGCGGAAATATTAAATATTATTAATATTTCTCAAAGAGTTCACAAGAATTCAAAAAAGCACGTTCATATCGCGAGATCCTAATCCCATTAAGTCTTAGAAAAAGTTTTTCTAAATTGATATATCATAAGATCAAAACGAAACCGGTATCGAAAGTCAAACACTATCAACGAAGTTTGACGTGGAAGCTATTATAGTAGCTCAAAAAAACAACAAAATGAATATCATCTTGTTTGCGAAATGTGACTCGTGTAAATTCTGTCTAAGGATCGTTGGATGCTACTCTAAAAAATTCATCAATTCTCGAAGGTAATCTCTTCTATGACATTAAGATAAATCGTTTTTGTAAAACTTTTCTATCCTATAGTGAGCTATATTTTGTTTGTAACATAATTAAAACAGTTTTTAAGAAAGATTAAAATGCTCGAAATAAATTAATAAAAGTTAGATTAGATTAAGTTAGAAATAAAAATTATAAAGATACAAATATAGTTAATAGTTAATTTTTTCCAGGGATGAATTTATTAAGATCATTAAAAATGATTATTTCTTATTTAACATTGAATTATTTGAAATATTTTTCTTTTTGGAATTATACTTAAATAAAAAAAAATTAAATGTACGTATGTATATCAGTATATCATGTATATCTATTTTTTAAGGTTAAGTATATTAACTAACAAAATTAGGATTACTTCTAGGATTTTTCTTTTAATAATCACTTTTTGCCATTATTAATTAAACGAAATTATTACGTGAAGAAAATAAATAATTTATGCAATTATAAGTCCCACAATTGATCATCGACAATCTAACGATGAATGTGATAGACGAAAAATAAAAAACAATGGCATAAAAAAGAAGACATTCAAGAATTTTCATTGTATAATATAATCAAATGAAGTAATTAATATATGGAGATAATATATAAGTTAGATAATCCAATTAATGAATTATGGAAAAATACAAATGAGAAAAAATCGAGGTCATCAAGATTATGAAAGCAAAACAAGCTGGAAAAAAGAAATTTATATAATATATATGTAATATAACAAAAAGTAAAAGAATTAATTGTATTGTATTAATTAAATAATCAATGATTCTTTTTGAAAAAAGAACAAGAGAATGAAAAAATAATAAATAAAAAAGAAAATACATAAAAAATATATTTTCGATGAGTTTGCCATTATTACAATAATGAGTTTAAATGAATTTGAAAGTTAAAATCAACTTTTTTAAAATATTTTTTAAATTTCGCGTTAAAATTGGCAAAATTAAGATAAAAGAAGAAATTAACGCATTATAGAAAGGAAGAAGAGAGATAATAAAAAGAAAAGATAGTTTCTAGGACAAGTTGCTCTTCAACTTGTCTACTTTAATATTTAATATTATATAATAATTAATGTTTTCAATATTAAACGTATCGAGCTAAATTCGTAAAAGAAGCATTTCTCTTCTAATCGTTTCCGGATGTTTTTTATATAATTTATTTAAAATATGCATTCCAAAAGTGCACAAAATAATGAAATCCATTTTATTATCCACGAATTGATTATCTTTCATTTGATTAAAGTGATCTGATGATTATTCGTTTAATGATTGTTGACTGTTGTATCATAATTAAGTAAATA